AGGACGACATAGTATTTGCTCATTAAACTGAATAATCATCCAGATTAATACGATCTGTTGGTTATGTGATAGATATAATACAGTAGGATAGATTGTCGATACACGTGCACAATGACAATGCTGATGGATTTCAAAATGCATCTGTTGCATGTAATATAGTATAATTAATATTACTGTATAGTATATTGTAATGCAAAATTGTCATCCTAAATGGTACAGTATTATGGTGCCTCATTAAGCTAGGTTAATATTTAAGCTAATGAATTTTATTCAAAATAGAACTTATAATATTTAAATTTTCTTTTGCATTTTACTAAAATTTTTGGGTTAAACATGTTTTAATATGTCGATTGGAAATAAATTTTAACATTTATCAAAACTGCTACAAGTTTTGCATTTAATTTTGATTTCCCGCTTCTCTAAATAATTACAAATTACGTTTTAAAATCAAAATGAAAAATAAAAATATATTCTAATTGAATTTGATCCAATTTTCTAAAAATTATTCCGTATTAAAGGACGGATAAATATTATTGCAGTCCACTGTTCGTGCTGGTAGGGAACATGTTAAAGTAACAATATAATACAAAATGAGAGACAATGAAACTGTATACATTAATCGTCTCTTTATTCAGATTTCTTCATATATTTATCTCCGTTGGTACCAGCATATGCGATAATTTATTAGTAGGCTTAGTACAAGTGTCCGCCTCGGGATCACGTTACATGGGACATCGTTTAATTACATCGACGCAGGTATGCATGTTATTAATTATATTTATATTATGTACTACATGCATATGTTCATGTATATAACATATGTTATGCGTGTGATTATTGTACAGTTTGCGATACGCCTTTTAACCCTTTGCCTTACTATTTGTCGTATCTTTACACGTTTCAAAGATGATCATTTGGTACATTACCGAGCATGGTAGCCTTTTAAGGAAAGGGGCACCATTTTGCTATAACTCTCAACAAGATGTAAAATAGATGTCTACCTGCAAGTGATGGCTCCTACTTTTTCTACATCTCTATATTTCCTAAAGAGGTGTCCATGTTCGGCAGTGTACATATCAAAGAATGCGTGATAATAGAATGTAGCGTTTATACTTTTTCTGTTTATTAAGTTGGACCTACGTCACAAGTCACACTCATATTTTTATGTAATCTGTAATACGAGTGTCACTCATTGTTTTCCTCTATAGGTATATATTCATTGTAAGGTAAAGGGTTAAATATTCGCTTCAAGGGTAAGATGATCATATTCACATTAGGAGAAACGTTCCTCTGTCCAGTCGTGTTTCATAAATAACGTATGTATACATACTGTGCAAAATATATTAAGGCCAGATTACTTCCACGAGGACAGTCGGACACGTCCTTCTCGCCTACTATTCCTCTAGCCTCTTTTTCTCGACGCATGGATATACTTTTGGAAGCTAATGGTTTTGTTACGGAACTAATACGTCCACCGAACCATCAAATACAGAAGTTTATCTGAATTTATTCATTATTGGCTGAATTTTGTTTTGAAATTCTAAAAATGCTGTCTACTGTGATCCTTTTTGTAAAGTGTTCTGGACTTTACGAAATAATTTTGACATTTTTATAAAATGAATATATTTTTAAGAAACTGTAAAATACGATGATAAATGTTAAATATGCTAAAAATGTAAATTTGTATTTATAATGAAGGAAGTTGAATAAAAGTGTTTGCAAATTAACATTGTAAAACTATGAAAATTTAATTAAAATTGATTAAGTTATTTTAATTTGTAAGAAGTTATTTGATAAAATTAATTAATAAAACCTGAGAACACTCCAAATTCTGTAAATTGTATAATATTTCTTTTCCTGAATTTTGAAAAAATGTGTTGCTTGTCTGACATGGAAGAAAAAATATAACGAGGGTGAAAATTCATAAATATGTTTCTGATATGGTTTGTTAGATAATTGAAATTTTGTGTTTCCACTTTTCGTGACAGTATTTTTCACCCACGTTTCCACGGTTCACTTATTCTCTATTAAATTCGGTAAGTTTTTTCTCGATTTTTGCACACGTCATACATTTCAGGGTTGCATGGTTTTCGTTTCTTCGATTCAGTGAGGCGAAGAACTAAACGATTCATAAACAGAAGTATTTACATCCTCGCAGAATCGTTAATTAGTTAAATAATGTAGTAAAATATTTTACAGTTCCACTCTTGCTTCGATTGTTTCGTCTTGCACAAATATACACTTCATTCACTTACACAGTTGCATTATAATCGTAATTTTGTGAATGAAAGTATCGTTGATCGACACTGATGATGTTACAAAAGAAAAATTAAATATTTACGAGAATAACAATTATTATTAACCCTTTGTTGTATCATTCTTTTCTTCAATTTTAAAAAGAAATATAGTCTGAAATAATAAAAAAAATATCTTTCTATTTTAGAAATGTTATTTAAATAATGTATAATACATTATTTTATGTAGCAGATTTGCAACAGAATGGAGCGAAGGGTTGAATTTTACTACTTTTTGTATGCACTGGAATGCAGCCAAAAATTTCATTCATTTTCTTTAATTTTTTAATGTTCGTTTAAGAAACAAAAATATGAATAAAACTTTTACCAAAGTTTCAAAGTAATAATAATTCTTGTATCTGTGTCACCGAAACATGGAAGGTCGATTTCATTCGTTTCGTTCTTCCTTCTTTTTTAATTTATATCTTATACTCTATCATGTATATATATATTTAACCGTCGTAAACACCTACAGTCAACAATTCAATAACTTCAATAATATCGCTTCATCCTATTCCGTATTTTACACAATCTACACATAAATGTAATCTTATATCCAGTGATATTAAATACCGCATAACTTTTATTCCTTAGTTATTGACAGTCATCGAATCATTCAACGTTCATTCGAACGGTGCATAATATCTCTTATTTGTTTTGTAACCTTTTACGTTTTTTTTTCGCAATTTAGCATCTCAAATTTTTAATAAATTTTTAAATTCCTAATTTAATAAAATTATCCAGAACCGATTGTTCTAGTATTAAAAGACCAATTTGTTCAATATTCGATTTTTGTAAACATTTTTAATAAAATGTTATTAAAAAATGTCTTGATATGTAAATAAAATGCGACACCTTTGCTCTAAATTCACACGTATTTGGCACGTTCTTTCAATTAAATCAATCTAGCAATACTTTATCAACATTTGTTATCTTTTCAAGATAACTGAAACGAGAATCTAACGCTAACATTGAATTGTAAATCGACCACCTTTCAATAGCTAATTAAAGTACAAATTTAACATTTTGCGAATAATTAAATAAAAATTTAATTAGAGTAACATGAAGAAGGTCGAGTTACAAGCTTGGTGTTTAAATTTTAATTCCCCAATGGTATGAACTTTCAGTGTAACAGATAATTAGATTAATTGATTAAATTTCCAATAACGAATGAAACATAATTTCTTCTCGATATCGTACGTGCCGTTTCAAATGCAAACTCAATTAAAAATGAGCCGATTAATTATAGATTAATTTCAGAAATTAATACTAAGAAAGAGAAACAACTTTACCATCATATTATTTACTTTCTTTTCATGATTATTTAAACCTTATTTGGATAAATTGTTTCCTAGGGTCATTACTTCGTTTAGGTACCATTTTTCTGAATTTGCATTGCAAAAATTTAATAATTAAATAAAGAATAAGATAATTTTGCAATAAATTTGACGGACCACTATGACCCCCATAAGGATTAAAATTCCTTGTCCTATCACCTACTCATAACTCATTTTTATAATTCATAACTCATTCCTACTAATTGAACTAACGATAAATAAAAAATTTTAACAATCCTCCCTAGAAATAAATTAAATTGCTCATTCCTTTTACATAGGAAAAGGGAGAAAATGATGTATCAGATGATTTACAATATTACAAAGATGGCGAGGCTTTTCTGGCGGTGGGCCAGAATCAAATAAAAAATTTTGTAATTAGAAGTCGCGGGTCAAATATTTGAACCGAGAAAACAATTTTCATATTTAACTCGTTGATCAATCTACAGTAGCAAAAAGAATATCACAAAATTAAAATTGGATGATACAATTATATTTAACCCATTAATTCTTCGGAGTCGTTTTGAAAAATCATGTGGGCACCTGAAATTACCTCTGGGTACTTTATGACCCCTACAGATCAAGAATTCGTCACTGCTGTAATATTAAATAGTCATTTAACATACATACGGGCATAAGTTCGCAGTCATTCGTGATTCGCGAGATTTACGTCTTCTCATTTTTTTTCTCTGGTTGCAAAAGCAAAGTAGTACGTTTCTTACAATAGCACGGAATTCTCTCACACGTTTCATTCGGTTGCTATTCGTTTTTTTTACACTACATACGGTGGAAGCTCATCATACGAACAACGTGGCATCATTCTGTTTCACGCATACCGATATAACGAGTATCGAAAGCACGGATACAATCTTCGTTTTTCGCTCATACGACGACTTTAATTAACGACTTTGTGCTTGTCCGCGCGACTTTCCTTTTTCAATTTCATTGAGGGATTTTCTTGGAAACGGGAAAATGCACGCTGCACGCACAACGAATAATTGAATCTTTTTTACGGAACTGCTTTTATCGTTATTATTACAATATGATCCGTATAATAATACTGACTCAAAGCTAAAAAAAAATTGCATATTTTCCTGATAAAAATAATTCTTATAACGAATTATCTTCTCAGAATTTTAATTGCTTTAATACTGAATGAATTTTATTGGACGTACTAATTAATTTAATGCTATTAACATTATATCTTTTCAATTAAAAGATTTTTCTTTGTTTTTATGAATTTGAAATGTCATTAAATGGTTCAAGAGGTTTAATAACAATAACGATTATTTTAATAACTAATTAGCTAATTAATTTGTAGACCTAGTACAGAACATTAAGGTATCTTAATGAATGAAAGTGTGGAGGAAAATGTAATTTAGATATTTTAATAAATCAAATATTATGAAAATTAGAATTAGAAAAAAATGTTATAGCTACAGTTCATTAATTTGTATTAAGTTACAAAGGACTTTTGTATTTCTGCATTCATCAGAAAATCATTTTTAAATGATTTTTATTGTAACTATTCCGATAAATTCAGTCCATCTGTACAAATCTCTGCATTTATTACAAATCTAATGATATTTTCAGACTTGTGTACTCCTAATCATCGATTAAACGCGTGAAATTATATTCCTACTTGATAATTGATTAGGGATATGTATTGGATTCAATTAGTCGATAATTGCTAATTTATCTTTTATCTATATAATATAAAAAGAGAGAGAGCATTATTTCCTCTCGATGATACCTACGTTAGAAATTCTGTTAAGTAATAAATGAATTTTGTAAGTTCAATTACATTTGCTGATTGCAAAGCCGCAAGAGTGAACTTTAATTATAAAATATAAAAGAAAATTTAGATTGTCAAAAGCTGTCGAACAGCAAATTATTAAATATTTAATCTTACCTTTGTTCAAACATTGAAATAACATGGGAAAAATTTTAAACTTTTTATAATTAAGCATCAGAATTTAATTTGTTGACCTATTTTTAAACAATTTATCATAAACTTTAAAATCTCGCCTGGCACTGAACGTATTAAAAACAGGAACAATTAATTTTCTAATTTCAATTTTCAAGCTACCCTACATTAATATTACAACAGTAATCCTATTCGAAATAATTATTTCCTCTTAATTCTTCAAACGGACCTAAATCACCATTACATTATTCAACCTAATAATACTCCGATAGAAGGCAACTTCCGCCCACTATTACAAATCACAATTTAAAAAAAAAACACTTTCACCTTTATACAATTTTAATGAAACCAGCATCGACTGGCTGCTTTCGTACGTGTTTCTTTGTCCCGACTAACATTTGCGTAACTAGATTTTGCTAGCGACCGTGTATTTATCTCGGTTCCCTGATATCCTCATCAACGATCACAATAATGTGTCGTGTCGACGTACACCAACGAACGGATCACACAGAGAGAAGAACGAAGAGTTAAAAAAGAGAGAAAAAAATCGAAACGAGTCCAGGATTTAATAATTCTATCATTTCAACAGATCAGATAATCGAGAGACCGTGTTGAAGGGAGATAGAGACCACAGACGAACATGCACTGCTAACGAGATATCTCGTTAAGCCTAGACGGACAATCGCACGGGTGGAGCTGTTCGACGTGACGAGATCTTCCTTCCCATCGTTCCGTTTCTCCGATATTCGTTAGAATATTAATTTCACGTTCATCGTGGCATGATAATACCCGGCATCAGGCCGAGTATCGCGTTATAAATGCCGCATCGATCGGCTGGATCTGAATAAACAAGGCCGGATCGGCGGTTCGTTCGCTCGATTTGACTTTTATTAAACGGCTGAGCCTCGATCGCGTTTCCATGAAACGATTATCGTCTTTGCCAACTTTTATTTCTGTGTTTAACTCGCGGAGGTCACGGAACCGAGGCGAGGAAAATCGAAAGGTTTTACTTGATTTTCCGTCGACCCTCTTTGCTGCCTTTCGTTCAAACGCTTGTTACATGGTACATCGGGGAAATATGGTGATTAAAGGAAATATCGGATGGAACGCGATCGTTTGTATTTCCTCTGTCACTTCGTTATGGGTGTGTTTATTTTTTTTTAGGAATCTATCGAGATTAGTGTAGTCGGAGATTGGTAGTTGGTTTACGTATTGAATGCCATGCGAGATTTAAGGTTTACGATTAATAAAGCGAGGTAAAAAATTCAAATCTGATGCTTAATTATACTAGATTCTGATTCAAATATTTCCATCATTTATACATAAACAATTTGCCTATGATTTTATTTATTCTAAGAATACATTGTCTTCCACCATAGTATGTATTCATTTTATCTTTTAAGGGTAGTAAAAATGATGGATAAAATAATAAAAAATTCTGCATACTTGTAATAGTTTAATGTAAAAAAAAATAAACATTGAGAAACTCTCAAAGATCCCTCCCCCCAAAAAAAATCTAAAGAGTTAAAATTACTTCACTGTTAAATTTCAAATTATTAAAATAAATGAAACAAAAAAATACTGTAGATATCGTTACTTACCGAATAAACAACCTGCAACCAAATTTCTGTTGACTAGATCTGGTAGAGTATCATCGATGGAGTGACGAAACGAACATAAATACAGGATCAATATTAAAATGACGATATCTTTTCAGTCGATTTGCTAACACAGCACAGAGTTCGATAGTTAACGACGCGATAAAAATAATGAATTATCGTCGAATGAAATATATGACTTGTTTCGTTCAACGCGTTTGAATATTCTTTACGTGAAAACAAGCAGCTGGCAAAGTGTTATCAGAAGGATACAAGAGGCGAACGGTAGAATTTTGTTCGACGATGTCGACGAGGATACATCGTCATCGTCGAAGTACGGTTCTAAGGTCGAACCCGTTTCACGTAAAGAACCCTGGTACACGTGATTTAGTCTGTGATCCCGATTACTTATCGATTCATTTGTGTCATACTCCCCTCGACGGTTTTCCACTTTCTTCGAGTGCTTTGGTAGATCCATATCTAAACAGAAAACCGGTACATACCAGATTAATTAAGTGAACAATGAATTTTTGTTAAAATTAGTGAAAAGTATATTTCACTTCAATATATCAATTTTGATTTATTATTAAAATCGCTGCAATTCTATCACGAAAGTGTCCACAAAATAGCCTTATATATAGCAAACGGAGTACATTTCTAATAATATAAAATACACCACCTAATAATATAAAATCGTTTCCTAGCTTATAAAGATATAATAAATAACTATTCTAAAAAATTTGAAATTATCGAAAACCCTCCGTCTAAAAAAAATTATTAATACCATGACTCCATCGAATCCATATTATATTTCTGTGATAAAATTTTTCTATTTTTCTACAAATAACAGAAGTAGTTAGGGCAACTTTTTTCGTCCCCAAAGAATGGAAAAAAGAGGAACGTTTGAAAAATTCCTTTCAGAATTTACACTTTTATTCAAAGCTGTCCATAGGATACATGTATTGCAATAACAATTTACCTCGTTATTATCGAGCTAATTTAAATGACACTCGATATTATATTTTTTTTCTTCTCGTATGCATAACCCTGTGATAGAAAAATATAACGGACCCATGGGGTGGTGCAGTTTTACGCTTGACGTCACATAGCACATAGGAGGCAACTATTGAGGGAAAAAGAGAGCGCAAGAATTCCTCTCTTTGACGAGAAATTCCTATAGTGGATTCAATTTATACATGTATCGACGTGTACCCTACTAACACTAATCTGTGTCCAGCATCTCGTGTAACTGCTTGAAAGCGATATTAAATTTGTGCCGTGGTTTCATAAAAATATTTCAGTTTTTTACATTACCTCGTGACTCTACCACTCGTTATATTAAAATTTCTTTACGATTCCCACCCCTTCCGATCACATATGATGCACATTGCATTTCCAATTTACACGACATTTTTGATTTCCGTAGAAATAACGTAACAAGATAAATGATTTTTTACTAAAATTGTTAATATTTCTATTATTTATTTCATTAAAGCATCATTAAAAATGGAAAGGTAAATTATCTAAATTGAGAAAGTCATCATAAAATAAATGAAAGTTGAATTCATAAAATCAATGTCATCTAAAAGAAGAAAAAAAAAGTGATGGAAATCATACGTCAAAGTGAGTGACACTAATGTTAGAAGGTTACATGTCCATTCCGACCCCTGGTCATCTAATGAAATCATTTTCTTGCGGATCTATTACGAGCAGGGGAACAATTTGATCAAGCTATCCCATGGAATTGCCCGACACTTCAGTAAAAAAGCACACAAAGAAAAGCAAAAAAAAAACTAGAAAGGAAGTGTAATCTTCCATCGCGATAACGCAAGGGCCATGTGTTGCAAAATTGACACTCCAGAAATTGGAAAAGGCGAAATGGGAAGCTTCTTCGGCCCCGCTGTACTCTTTCGATATTGTTCTCTCGAATTATTATATTCTACGAGTAATTCACTGAAATTAGAACAATACAAAAGCAATTTCTACCGAATTTATTGATTTATGTATAATGAAAAATGACATCCAAAGCAATGAAAAATATAGATTCCAATCATTTTTATTACAGTATAAATTAAAGTTAAGATTAAAATGCTTCAAAGCTACATAATAATTAATTAACCCTTTCTAGCCCCTGCAATAAAAATATTACAAAGTTAAAATTAAGAAATGAAAATAAGAAAAGGTCTAAAATTAAATTTTAATTTTCCCTATCTCAACCACCGCTTGATTAATTGACAAAAGAAAGAAATTCTTCAACTTCGACACCTTACGAGGGTTCATAGTCCCAGAGGAGTGTGTAAAAACGTAACCGGTCAGTAACGAGCAATTTGTAGGGAGGATTCAATTTATTGCGTATATAGTTCCGGTTTCGGACAGCTGTTGCGGGGGGAACGAGGACGTCGAAAGAAGCAACGGGAACGGGAAAAGAAATCGCGGAAGGTGGTGAACACATTCGACGAACCGTGGCCTAGAGGGGTATGGAACGAAGAGGAAGTGAGGCAGAGGGGGAGGGAAGGGGGTGAAAACGTGCGGCAGCTCGTCGAAATAGCAGTTTAGCACTGATAGCACTTGGCGGACTTTTATCGATCATGTCTGGCAACAGATGGCTCACCCAATTCCCGACGGCGCGTTTTGTCTGGCCGGCCTGATAAACGATAACTAATACGGAACAGAAGAAGCAGCAGCAAGAGAAAAGGGAAGAGAGATGTAGCACAGCAGGATGGGTTGCTCCTGCTGCTGGTTGGATATTGTTTCGCGGACTTTTAGCCCTTCACGTGACGTGCCAACATCTCGCCACACTGTCGTCCCACATCCTGTTTACCACCCCTTTCTCTTCTACCCTTGATCGTGTCTTTTATACGGGGTGAACCTATGACCATCCTCGTGTCTTTGACCTTCTATTCCTACTCTTTTATCTTCTATCCATCTATTTGTCTTCCTGCGTGACTATTTATGTATTTGGAGGATCGAAAGGGTAAGAAATTGGGAGGAGAGGGGGTAATATTTTAATGAAATTTCCAAAATTCATTACAAAATTCTGTAATGTAACTAAATATATCTTCACACTATGAGATTACAATGTTATGTGAAGTTATCAAAATTTTAAAACTTCCTTCCATAATATTGTAACATAATTGAATGTAACCCTACAGTTTCGAAACTTTATAACGTAAGGTGTGAGAAGGAAAAACAACACTACTTGCAATTCACCCCGCTCTTTTCTCTTTACGTTCCGTTTATACCAACGGTTTAACGGTTAATCCCCCAAGCTTATCTGATTGCGTGACTTCAACGAGAAGTTCGAGCATGCCACGAGTCAGGACAACTCTTCGCACACAACCGTGGACGTTAACAGAAAGGGGAGGAATGTTAGTTTACACGGTTTACACGATAAAATTTCGGTCATTAACCGTGGGGGTGTATTATTTCGCGCGCTGATAATGGACTGCGTGTTGCGGTGATTCACTCGTAAATACTTAAGAACGGTTTGCTCCACTTGTTACGTCTTCTCGGCTCCATCGTGTGAAAAATGTATACAGGGCGAGACAATTAACCTAATCATTTCAAATTCTTTGTAAATTGGGATGAAAAATTATTTCAAAGAAGAATTATATGGTACTAAACTACAATATAGTACTAATAATTTTTTTTATAAATATAGGATCTTGGAAGATTTCCAAATTGATTCTATTTTTTAATTAAATAAACTTTCATATCTTTTCTTTCTTTGAAATAAAGAAGTTCATTGGAATATTTTCTACTAAAGAGATTCTGAAATACTTGAGGAAAATACCTAGATAATTTATCTTGTATCTATATTCTAAGAAAAATGGATTTAGCTTAATAATAACACTCAATGAATTCAACTTTTTTCTGATACTTAATTTGAAAGATTATCTTGAACTTAGAATGTTGTTTCAACATTTTCTTCCGGAGAGTTTACATGGTATTTTACAAGAAAAAACGTACACTCACAACGAATGCCAGGCTGCAATAAATTCGATCACTTTATCATGTTGCAGTTTCGTTATGCGATGTACGTTTGTCTCGGAAACTTTTACTGGAAAATTTATATCGCCAAATGCGACGGACAAATATTATGAGACGAGTTGGAACGGAATGCAAAATGCGTTTCAGGATATGTTTGGATTGTTCTACGAGAAATGAGAAATACCAAGAAAAGCTAACATATATTAATAACTCAATAATTAGAATCAATATTCTTCTGATATTTACATCTCCTTTTACTGATTTATTTCTTAAAAGATTTTTATCTGTACCATTTATTTTGCTAAACTAATGTCATATTCTAAAGATCAATATTTTCTAAAATAAGAAATTATTTATTTTTCCAAGTGATATTATTAATTTTATCTAAAATCAGTTGAAGATTGATAATTAATACCTATAAAAAAATTATCATGATGAAACGTTTACCAATGCACGATAATTTCTTATTTTTGATTTTAGAAAGTTGTCACGAAACAAATTTGTATTTGCAGAGAGAATTGAACTAGTTCAAACGATAATCATCAGTTTCGTAAAAATAAGCAGCTTGGCCAATTGCAACCCGATACACCAGTTATTACGCTCAAATTAATAATCAATGCTAATTGCCATTGTCATTAGGTGAACGACCATTATACGTTGCGAATAACTATGTCGTTTCGATGTACTTTAGTTTGCATGGTAAACGTGTCGCGAATGTTACAGTAACAAAGCAATTTATTCACATTCTCACCACTTTTTGAAATTGCTGCATTTTATATCTGTCAGGTCATTATTATTCTCGATGTCGCTCGTATATCAATAATTCGACTATTTCAATTATCTCATTCGAGCATTTATCTTTGATTTGCATGTAAATTGTTAACAACCGCTCCGATAATCCATGCACCCTGTACAGTTGACATTTTGACGTGTATATAAATTATTTATCTTTTAATTGTTGTAGAATAAATTGTTTTTCTCTAATTAATCATTTTGGATCTTTTCAAGGAAAAACTTTAGATTAATGCACGATTCCAAAACGAAAATTTAAACAATTTTAATTTACTGATGCAAAATTTATGACAAAGGCAATAATTTAGGTGAATTTAGTAAGTCTGGTAATGATTTGTAATATTTAAACTTTTATAATAGCAAGGCTATTTATTCGAATAACTTTGAATTCTTGTGGCAAATAATAATACATAGTACAATACTTTTAAAGCGCGTCACTAATCTACATAAGTTAAGTTAGGTTATCAGAAAAAATACAAGCGACCCCCAAATATCATAGAGGGACAAAAATACATAGAATTTACCTTTTTTCAATTGATTTCTCGTTGGGGTCCTAATTGTAGACATTTACCAGCTTTTATTCCTCATAAATAAAGTAGGATGATATTCATCGAAAAAAAAAACAAAAATAAAAAAAATCTTACCTTAACAATTCCAAGCTCGCTGATTGCTGCCTGTTCCCATCCTTACAACACTTATTTTAATTAAACGAACGCGGGATAATGAGGTTAATTATACACACATCCATCAACTGAATTATTTAAACAAATATAAGACCGACCGCGTGTACTAGTTCCAAATATTAATGTTTAAAACGCGAATTTAATTGATAATTTAACATAAAATACACGCACTTTGAACAATTATCCAAATAGTACAGTTATTGTTTAAAGATGAAGAGATAGCACACGTAGAATATGATTTACAATGCGAACTTATTTGACGACCGTCACGCGTATACGTGTTCACCTTGCGAAGCCCGAAGCCTTACTGAACGCGTTTGTGTAGAAGTCGATAACAAATTGCATATTTGTAAGGTTTGTGTTCAGCAAAGGGTACGTGTCGTTTTTACATGTAAACAAAACTTTAAAGCTTGGTCTATCCAACGAGACGAGATAGTAAATGCGTACAAATTCACGTGTTCGAAGCAGACCCGGCTCACAGTACACACAAACCTCGACCGAAACGTTTGAAGAACCGGAAACAACTACTGAGCCGGCCCTGCGTCGAGCGCGTAAATTTGTAAACATAATCTGACTCATCTCGTTGGACGGATTATAGATATCGAAGAATAGGAACAGACACAAATTGCTGAAACTTTGAATATTTTCACCCAATCACTAAATATTTAAACTATTCAGGCGTGTAATAAAATTCTTTATATAGATCTACTACGTATAGTTATAAATTTTAATCTGATAAATTAATTTTATTTTGCAAACTAAACGCAATCAGTTTTTATTTAGTCGTTTCCAGGGAAACTTTTGCATTGAAAACGATATGCTCCCGCTGGGAACGTGTCACATTTTTACAGCAGCCGAGAAAAGAGAAGATTCGTTGGGACAGGGAAAATGTAAAGGAAAGTAAAGACGAAGTCTCGAAGTTGTAGAACTTCGCGATCCTTATAAACGTATTATCCACGAGAAACTCACCGTAAAGTCGAATGTTGCCTTCTGCATCGCCGATCGAGTTCTTTGAAATGCACCTGTAACCACCGAAATCCTGTTTCTGAAGATTCATGATTACCAAACGCATTTGAACGCTGTACACCGAAGTTTTCACCTCTGACATCGAGTATTTACTGTTGCTGATTATCATTTCACCTGTGAACAAAAATATTAAGAAAATCTTAAGTTTAATAATATTTAAACGTTATAAAGAATGAACTTAGCAAATGATCGATTTTAGAAATTTCAAATTAAGGAAGAAATCTTATATAAAATATTTCTAATTATTTGGAATAATGTTTGCAAGAAGTATATATTAAAGTTAATTTATAGTATATCAAATTATTTAAAAGATATTGTAAAAATTAATGGTGCTTCTACAAAATATTAACCCTTGATCAGCGAATCATGGAGAGAGCTTCAATTTTAATTTAATTTTGCATCTCATATTCTCTCCATTTTCTAAATTTTACACTGTTCCTTTAAAATTTATTCTTCCAATACATGAAACTCTTTCGTTTAAAAATTATACGTTTGATTTAAAATTAATATTCTTATATAAGTTTGGGTCACGATTGACTCAGGCGCCGCTGTTTCAAGAGTTAAATATCAAGGTACATGATGATATCCAATATAGTTATGTAATTTATAAATTTTTCATTATTTAATATCAAAAGTATAATATTTTGAACCATTTTATCTTATGTATTTGTAACTCGTAACAGTGAAAGATAAAAGAAAAAGATTGTTTAATCCATGAAATGGTTGCACACAGAGAATTCTTAAATTATTCTGTAACCACGCAAGTTCAAATGCTTTTAGCATATTGCTATGTAGCTTGTATTATGTAAAATTCATTTAAAAATTGCAAGTAAAATGTTTCCATAGGTCTCTTATTTAAAAATGTCTATTATAGAATAATCGTTCATAAAAGTCTTTCTTTCTTCCATTTAAAAGTCAATAATATAAACCCACCCCGCAATAGTTAATTGAATCTTACCTGATTCGCGTGTCCAATAATTAATGGCCTTTGGGGATGCTTCCACGAAGCAAACCAGCGTAACGTTGGTTCCAGTTGGTGCACCGACTAGCTGGTTCGGTACTTGAACCATCGGGTGAACTGCAATTTATCGTGACGTCATTAATCAATGGCCAAACATAAAGTAATAACGTATATGTAATAATTATCGAACGCGTCACGATTTGTCACCGGCAACCGATAAGGATCAATGATTGTGGTATCAGATACAGCATAAATTGAATATCAGGAAACTATTTTAAAAGGGATAGAAATTGACCTATATTGGTTCTATCAACCAATGAGAGATTTTTAAAAGTAATATTTGAAAGAGTTGAAAGTACACAGTTATTTATTCAGGGAGTGATAGAAAGTTATTAAAAAATATACATACATATCAAAGTACTATCGTCAGTAAAATATTTTCTCTCCAAATTTTTATTTTATCATCTTTTACCCAATTCTGATCGAACTAATTTTATCTTTCCAAACTTGTGCAAATGCCAATTAAAAATTTTTTTGGTAATAAAAATCAAAAAGTAACATGGATTTGATTCAATACAAACAATCTCTGAAGTTACATTACTCTACTTTCGAAACATCGTTTTTTTTTGTCTTTTCTTTTAGAAAGATCAGATTTATTCTCGTTCTCAATTCTACACGATACACTTAAGGTTCCAAGAAGGGATTTACGAGGAAGCAGTAAAAATAACAAAGATCACGAGACAATGTATTGTATCCATGAAATCGCCTTACAATGGTATTTCATGGCGTTCGTTCCTTTGTAGAACCCATTAGATGACGACAGGGCAACGAAACTTACGATAATGAAATGATGACATGCTTGACAGACTGTCATTTAGAGGGAACCGAAGGTAATTCGCGATGTACCCCGTTTTTCGTTTCGAATATCGTAAGTAGCTTTCTCTGAGCTGCTTAGGTTTTAACAGCCACCGTCGCCGGCCACTGCTTTTGACCGGGGTTGCGTCTGTCCTTGCATTTCAAGGAAGTACCAGCACAAAGAGCTTACCCCTGTTTCAGACGACATGCTTTATCTATGTATATTTTAAAGATAAGTCGGTAAAAGTGGTCCAGACGGGATTTTTGTCTCCGTTTCTCGAACGGATTTTCTAACTTGTTCCTTACTTTTTATTTTGTAAGGGTAGTTCGAAGAATGGGGATCGTTAACTCTCGCTGAGGATATGTTTGATTCTTTTGGACAAGATTTTCTAGATTTAATTTTATTTTGTGAGGAAATTTATATATAAAAAAAGAGGTTCATATTTGGACTGTAGAAGATGTATATATGTATGTATGAAAAGCAGGCATTGTGTAGAATGCTTAGTCAATGTAGAATGCTTGACTATACTTTTGCGCAAAGTATAAAATTATTTTAATATTATATAAACTTTTCTTAGGTATTGTGAGGATTTTGTAAAATAATTATTCTAAAAATTAATAAAATAAGAAAAAGTTCTAAAAGGTCTTTAATTTAAAATTTTAATTTAGGGAGAAATTAATATTGTTTATATCAGGATTTAGATCGATATTGCTTAGGCATTCTATATAATGTCTGCTTTTGATACATTACCGGTAACATATACATTCGGCAAAATCAAATAACAAATTGTTTTTATTGAAATTAAATAATAAGAGTGGTTGAAAAGAAGAATTGAAAGAACACAAAACTGTGAAAATGTTAGAAACACAATCAAGTTCGAAGGTTGACTACGAAATAGTGAAACTTGATTAAGACTAAAATTGAATTGCAGTTTATAATTCTACGATGGCTATGCATATACTACCTAGTACAACCTTACAAACTAAACCTTAACTCTGCGTAACCCACGAGGATGCATAACACGAAAACAAACCTACAGTTTGTCACACACTCTTGGGATTTACAGGTTTCCAACGGAATAAACTGAAGAACCCTTGATTCCCTTGTGACAGGAAAACGTATTTTCTCGATTGCTTGTTTATAAAATACTTATCCAATTTCAAGCATTTGTCAGCGACCGTTGATCGATTTAACGAGCAATTTAACCCAACGCAGTTATCATTGTATAATTAAATGGCAAATTATAAAACAGAGGTAGTTTAATGTGATTTGATGATACAAAGGTAAGGCGAAATGGCTGGTTACAAGTTAAAATTAATAATGACCGATTTCGAAAAAGAATTGTATGGTGTGACCAAAAATTGTAACCACTCACCGAACGATGCTATCAAACGAAATTATTTAATACATGGTCGAAGCAATTAAAACTTTTGTCAGTATCCTCGTGGACTAGTGGGAGCTGTAAATCAATCTTTATATCTCGACATGTACACCGTTGGTAACAACAGGAATATTCATTTAGCAAGGTTCGATTGTGACCACGTTTCGTTTCGCTCGGATGTTTAGATTAATGAGCTGAACGTAATCCAATTCTGTAATTGGCCAGGCGAAATTGCGATGACATCCGAAAACCTGGATAAAGATGTACGTTTGGTAATAAACACGAGCTTGTATAATCGAATTGTCAGGAATTATGAATATGTTCTTTCAGAACCAACTTTCATAATTAAAATGGATATTATGCATTGTGATCCAAAAATTTGTTGAAAGATCCTTTAGACACTCTAATAATAAATTTGTTATAAAGAAAAATGATACACGTTCAATACATTTTTCAGTAAAAGTGTTTCTAAAGAAACAGAAATTTGTACGATGCGTAAATTGCGAAGTAAATGGTGCATGAATAAAATAAGGACCATTAGTAGCACTGACTAAATTACATTACGCCACGATAGTTTGTTTCTTCCTGAATTATTCATGGTGCCTCGCAACACCTTGGATACAAACGGGAAGATGGTGATTCTGCATGAGAAAATAAATCCAAAATATACATTTTGTAGAGACAGAAACAGGGAGAATTGTCAAAAATTTATTGTTTATTTCGTACTCTGCAGCAATACCATAGGTGCGTAAATATTTATCTTTGCTGCAATTTCCATATAGATAATTACTGTTGTATATTCGTTTTCGCTATTTTGTTAATAGGTATTTTCCATTTCCTAATTGTTCAATATTGAATTTTTATCAAAATTTTTAATCAATACTGTACACCTTTAAACGAGGCAAACATTCATTTCTTAAAATTGAGTATTTTTATACCAATTTATAAACGAATTTTTCCAATTACTTTAATCAATATTTCTTATCATTCAAATTCAAAAATAAAATTGCTCTAAATTCATCTTTGCTACAACTCCACACCATAAGAAAAATACAGAAAATTATAACTTTTCAAAAAATATAAATTTCGATTCAATTTTATTATCATCGAAGGGACGTAATTACTAAAGGGTCGAGGAAATATCGCAAGGTTGGCATTCGCTTTAAATGTTAGAGACTAGGGTGGTATTTGGCCAGAGATAGGTCGGCCCGCCACGAAATAAATCATTTAAATTGGAGGAAAGAGAAATCCCGGCTAATAGCTTAGGATCTTCGTGTGAAGGTGTGTCTCCTGATGCGATTGCGGCGATGAAGTAAGCCCGTAAGGCGAAACATTGGGATGCCCTAATAGGTTTCCAGGTCGGCTGGTCAAGCCGCTTTATGTGGTTACACCAACGCTGGTCGATCTTCATGATGAGTATTAGTGCCATAATATCAGAAGTTCGTGGTAACCTTCGATAAATCCTTCTTAACTTATATTTCCGGCGTTAGGTTATTGGTAGGTATCAGTTGCTTCCTTATCCTTATCTTATTTATTTCGTTGAAATATGGCAATTTAATCCTTGATCATCATTTCTTTTATTAATTTTGTTAACAAAGAAAATATGAACACGTGTCTTTTGTCTAGTATGAATTTTAGAACATGGTAAATCTAATATGGTTTAATATTAAAATAGCACCATAAATCAGTGATATGATAAACTTCGAATCCCATAGAAAATTGAAGTTTCACTTTAAATCAAGGAAGAGGGATGGTCGCAGGGTCGCAGCAACTTGGTGTACCGTTGGACGTGTTAAAACAACGAATAGTTTAAGGACATCCAGCAGGAATATCGTCCAGCGAAATACGCTTGCCATGCTGCGGCAAAACGCTAGGAAATCCTGTAATAGGTTTCTGGGTTGACCGGTTAGGGAGCAGACTGCGGTTTTGTGGCAACGGACCCCATAGAAAGCAGAATTCCCTCCGCTTTCGAAGCCAAAGGACAGATCTTCGTACTTTCGCGGTAATACCATAACCGTAGCGCTTCTCTGCATCGCCACCAACGTCCCTGAATAGACTATTGCTACGGCAGTTCCTTCGTTCAATATTGATGGATGATTTTAAAGATGTACTCGACATGGCGGAGAGAACGACGAGAGGCAGGTCGCGTTTTGACGCAAATAATTCCGGGAATAATGTAAATTTCACATCGCTCACACGTTTTACACTTCGTTGCTGTTTCCTTAGCGACTGCTGAACGCTTCTCGCGATTCTGGTTTTAAAGCGAACACGGTAAGGTTCCTTCTTCGAGTATAAAATGGTTGTATCGGGAAAGATAAATTCAAAAGTTGAAACATTGGTGTAGATACGAGAAATGAATTAATCTAAATTTTACGTTATAGCTTTGATGTAAAGAGAATAAAAGTTGGATAAATCTGTATAAATAGTTGTAGAAAAGTTCAATTAAATCCATATATTAAGTTTGCGAAAGTGCTTGAATTCCATTCCTTTCGCTGAACTTGAACGTCTATTCGACGAGGAATTCCATTCCAGCGGAGTTTCGCATTCATAGAAGAAGTTGAACCGAGTCGACCGGAAACTCGTGTACAAACTACCACGCTTTTTAGCATCAACTTTTCGCTATAATAACTATAGTGTGTTGTATCAGAAATCTTGATAATATCATCGACCTTGCAAAAGTTTACCGAGGAATCACTGATTCTCTAGCTACGAACGCGTTATAAGGGTTCCTTTGCAATTTCATCCGCTTATTTCAGTAGAATATCTTGTATGCAACAGAAGTAACTTTTTCTTTAATGTATTTCTCGGATCTCATCTTAACTTGCTCTCAGGTGAAAAATTTATGATGTACAACGTAGAACTTGGGTTTCCTTTTACCGTAGAATTTTGATGAACGAAGAAAATGTGCTAGTATTTCTTGGAGAGTTTAATTTTTCATGGCAACTTCTCCATTGTAAAAGTGAAATCTTCGTTTCTCGTTACTGCAATTTTTTTCATAAATTACAGAACAATAGATATTATTTCATAATAATTTTAACATTTTTCTGTGCGATAGTTTTGCTTAAAGCAAATTGAAAATTAGAAAATTTCTAAATGTTGCTAAATTCTTTTAAAAAACTATTCTTGATTTTAATTTCAAATTAGATTTTCTCAGGTTTGCACTCAAACTGTAAGATATTTGGAACACAACCTCGAGAATATATTATTATTTGTTGGTTTAGTTTAAATTCTCATAGCTAGTTCTTGTTCTTCTCCCCATAAGCGTTTTCATCGAGCTCCACGCGCAATTTTCCAGAATTGCGTGGAGTAAAATAAAGTACAATTTGTCCCAGAAGAGGTGAACTGGCCCCGAAATTGTTCCGTCGGTGACAGCAATTTACGGCAGTTGTAATCAGTTTGATTAACGCAGACAGCCGCGATAAACACGATGGATGCAACGGGGTTGCTTCATTTTGAGAGGAACTTGCGAAGTTCTACATGTTGGGTTCATCGAAATATTTCCGTTCTTTTTTTTATTGATTCTTTTCTCTATTATGAAACAGTCAAAACAAAATTTTCCAAACATCAAATAAGAAATTTTCATAATATATTTTAGATTTCAATATCTTCTTAGGAAAAACAGTCGATTGAAAATGTAAATTACAAATTAAATTATTCATTACATATGCAAATGCTTCTAAACATTTGAATGATTATTCGTCGGGAAGGAACAGGAAGAGAAAGTATGACGTAATCAGGGGGTCTCGAGAAATTTTGTAACAGTTCGAGGAGGTCAAAAGTTAGAAGTTAATCCGTACGAATCTAAATTAAGTCCCGCGAGCGAGGTTCGCTAGATAGATAGCTACTGGGCACGTTTAGTTAGAGTAGAATAGTTACAACCCTGTTGGATTTAACCCTTTAATTTTCTCGGCTGAAATATTCTATAGAAATGAGCCACCTCTTGGAAATAGTTTTCTTTTAATAAATATAATCATACACTTTAATCTACCATTTAAAATATTTGTTATTTAACATTTTTTAAATAAATATTATTTTTGCAATATATGAAAGTTTTTCTAAGTGGCTGATACAATTTTTCAGAAATAAAAGGAAAAAGATATAGTTTCTCAGACAAGGTGAAGATTCATTTAACAGTAACGAAAATTACTAAAGATTTAGGATCCACTTAAGAAGCTACTTCTCCTGCTTCACACAAAATAAGCTTGTAAGTCAGGGCATTATAGTTTTTCTAGGTAAGCTTTCAGCTTATGTAGGAGTTTCTCAGTGGACTGCACCTACAACGAGATAAGTGTGGTCCACAAAAAGTAGATTTTCCCTTGCCCTCAGGCAACAAAGACCAAGATATTTCTTCTTTAATAAAATGACACCCAATTTCATTCTATTATATAAACTATAGCTCACTGTAATAATATTATAATTATCATTTTATATATTATTATGTTATAACATTATTATACGAATAAATCATATCGTTATATTATACCTAATATTTTTGAACCTGGTGTGATCATTTTCCATGAACATTAATTTTCATACAGTATGTAACGTATTGAACGATGAACATAGAAATACCAGTGCATTGTTTCGTTATTGTAAGACAGTTAAACGATCGAGCTTGTTTTCGGTGCTTAATAAATGATGACAATTAACCAGACCTGTTATGAACGCACTCGAAGCAGTCAGTTATTTCCATTCGCACGTTGCCATTGAAGAGGGCAACAACAGGGCAAAATGAAAGGTGTTGGCAACAGTTAAGCACGTTTTCCGCTCAATAATGACCAGCTACTGCACAATTGGGAATTACGCGCTGAATTTGAGCTACCGCATGTTTAATTCAGAGAGTGGAGATTATTAATCTGATCCTGTACTTTCTGTCGCGCGTGGACACGTTTAAAATTATCCTACCACTGCAGAACTATTTAATGGAACCGAGTTTAAAATTGACGGAATAATGTATCGTTAAGCGACAAGGTGAAGATTCTGGTTATCTTCAATTTCTATTAAAAATGATATATGAAAAAGAGAATCTTTAATCTCTTTTTTATGGAGTAGGTTAATTCAATTTAGAATGGTAATTTTATTAGAATGGTAATAAAAATAAAAATTCTTCTATTTAATTTATGAATAAATTCTCTTCTCTTATTATTTTTAGTAGAAAATTTGTTACTTTCAATTTTAACAAAAATTATTTCTGTTTAAATTATAATAAATTTCCATATAAACAATCAAATTGATAATACAAAAATATATTTTCCCTAAGAAATACCGTTCATACACTTTCTAAAAGATATACCAGAAACTTCCTTCCTTCTGACAAGCTACTTTCACGAATTTCCTATCTCGAAGAAACAAAGAGAAAGATCTTTATCTTGCACAGCATTAACGAAAGAAAGAAAATCCCAGAGAAGGCAAAAGAAAAACCGACAGGGTCGTTACCTTACCCGAGAAAAGAATACATGCAGCTATTCCGTTCTCAAAAATCATGGCAATGACTTATCTCATGTAAATTGCATGAAAATGAAATTTCTCAAAAGCCTTTTATATTCCTTCAGCTACGTTTTCAACACTCGTGAATGAATATCAAAAATAGAATTCCCCATTTGGGAAAGATAAAAAGGATGGGTTTGAATCGATCCACATAAATTGTTCGTTTTATGCGTGAAAATGTAACATCCAGATCGTACCAAATCGATCGGCTATCCACCGAACCATCTTCAAGATGATCCGGTTTGTCCTTCTCGGTCTCTCCATTGACAATAGCCTCGGATCGGTTGAATTTCGAAGCAATAGCTCGCGGACGCAATCGTCTATACGGTCTGCGGCCACGGAGCGTATTCAATGAAATTCGATTATCCTGCACGATCTTATCGCTCGAGGGCAGGTGCAAGATCGTAGCGTGAACCCTGGGTACATCCAATTTCCGGGGAAGAATTACCTCGTCGAATCTAAGACACCGACAACACACCCGTAACCGCGACTTAACTCTCCACCTCGTCACCACTATTCCATTTTACTCTCAATCTTTCCTCTTGCTCGCAACATCTCAAAACATTTATTTCTCAGCCGTAGCCTTTCCATCGAACTTTGTACCGGCCAGCATATCGTCTGGACTGTAATTTTATTATCTTCCTACCCTTTTCACTCTCTTCAACTTTCCTTCCTTTCCTCAGCCGGCCGGTTTCTGTTGTTATTTAAGCCACATTTTACCCTTCCATCTTACCCTTCCCTTTAACCAACTGCAAAGCTGACGACCAACCCTCCCGTTCCTTTTTTCTTCCTCTTCTCTGATACAGATGCAAACTTCCCTTTCACCACGTTGAAATTATGCAAAGAAGGAGTCCATGGCTATCTCTCTGCAGACTCGCTGTTGCTTTTGCCTTTGCAACGACATTTGGCTGAAGCGAAATAAGGCCACGATTCTGAGAACGTTTCGCGTCTAACAATAAGTGGCGAGGAATATGGTACCTTTTTCCGGGGGAATATGTTACTTAGAAGAAAGAAATTTTAATTCTTTTTTTTCTTATGACGCGCTTCTTTTGTCTGGTTTATACCTGTTACTCCTTTCTCTAATACACATTGTTGCAATCAGGACTTTTGTTAATAGATTTTTGGTAAACAGTAACAATCAAATAAGAATATTAGATTTGAATAAATATGTACCTACACCGAGCAATTAAAACCGTGTGAATTTCTAAAAACATGTTTTGACTGGATATACGGGGATCAGCAGAATTCATCAAAGCTAAGAAGATAATCTTCGGAGGGATATAGATTTTGTACCTAGGGAAACGATATTAGGACGTACTCACAGTGCACATGCAGCATCATCCGTTTGCTGACTGACGGTGGTACTCCGTTACTTGCGATGCATAGGTAGGCACCCATCTCGCTTCTGGTTACTTTCGACAGAGTCAGCGTTTCACCCTCGGCTGTTGCGACTGCAATACATAAACAGAAGAAGAGGATTTGAAAATCTGTTTAATAAGAATATTTGGATTTGCTGTTTAAGGTAGAACAACTTTTATTGATTTCTAATTGTAAATGATCTGATTCAAAGATAATAAAATATGTCTTCTTTTTATAATTTACAAGGAAGGCAGTTTAAAGGTATTTTTAAAATTATAATAAAATTTTACATTATATTATAAATTATATTATTTGAAATCTCTCTATCGGGATAGCTAGTTTAAAAAAGTAGGCCACAATACATAGATAGCACTATGAAAAAGTTTTCCTTCTGACCGTGAGTTCAAATCCAGTCAAATGAAAACTTTTTTTTAAAATGTATTTATGCAATTATAAGTTTTGTACGGTGTATTTGAATTAAAAAAATAATAGTAAAAATTTATATAATTATGCTATTAAATTTTTGTTATAATTTCGTTCATTACTGTATTTTGTAAAATATGGACTATCTAAATACATGTAACTTCGAATAAAATTTGGAACTATTTTTCATGTAAAAAATATTCTAAATCAGAATTCTAACATTTTTAGAGTTCTAACAATTCGATATTAAAGCTACTTATACGCTTGGATCGTTTAATCATATCAAGTAAACAATTGAATTGAATTTCCATCCAAACATATCGGATTAGCTATGAATACATGGTACGAAGCTTAAGACCTTGCTATCATCCCTTTCAATTCGACACGTCGATACTATTCCTGCGATCTCTCTATGAAGTGCAAGGGAAAGCATAGTTTCACCTGCGCTTGCGAATCAACGTTCCCTGAAGAGATGGGAAATTCTGTTAGAAAATGTTGACGCATCACTGCGTTTAATACGTCCAATCTAATTCTTGTTTCATCTGGGAATCCATTTTTCGAAATTGTATGAGTGGAAACGTCGAATAAAAAAATATATAATCACAAAAATGATAGAACACCATTCTAAATGGAATAGTTTCATAATGGAATTACATTTAGAATTTCTGATAAAAAAAATTATTACGAGTAAAAACTTTCTTAATTCCTCGAAAAAAATTTCAAATCCAACAGAATAAAAATAAGCAGTGAATAAAAATTCTTAGAATAAAATTAAAAAAACATTCTTCAATTAAAAATCGTTAGATAAAAAATAATTTTACGCTCCAAACTTCTCAGAACCGATAAACATTTTTCTCTAGTAACTTGGTTCAAATTTCGATATTTTCTGACATTTTAATTCAAATTCATTATTCAGTAATTAAAGTTTTATGAAAGGGCATTGATCGAATAATGATCGTGCGATGGATTGAATAGTAAAATGTGTATGTACTGTTTCAAGGATTATTTAATAAAAGTGGAAATTCAATTGTACGCGAATGAAAACGTAATTGAATACGTTAAATGATCTTACTTTTCGTCTTGCCACCAGAGAGTCCGGCACGGGAAATAATTTCAGCACCATCTTCTCGTTTCCAAACGATCTCTGGTTTTGGATATCCACGAGCTTTGCATACCAGCTTCGCAGATCCACCTTCCGGTACCATCAGATCATTCGATGTTTCTTCAGATATTATGTCCGGTGGTATCACCACTTCTAGAAACGCGCTCTGAAAATTCATGAATACATCATTTAAGCTTTATAAGGAATAGATAATTTATAAATTGTTTTAATTGCAATTTTCTCGGATGAATAAAGTTTGGATCGTTGAAATGATTGTTCAAAAGTATGTATCATTACAGATAACAAAAATTAAAATAAATTTTAGAAAGTGTTTAATTTATTGTCTGGCTCGTTTTTTTATATTAGACATTTTTTTATGTGTAGAACGGATTTCACTTTAAAACGAATGCCCTCCGTGCGAAAGCATCGCGTACAATAAAAATCTGACCCGGATCTAGGGTAAAAAGATTCTTCGCTTCCCCGGCCATTTTCTTTCATCTTTCTTTCCTTTTTTATCGTACGCTTTGCTACTCTGAAGGATAGCCTTTCCGTACCTGACTCTTCATAGGATCCGTGTTGACCTGACACATATAAATGCCTCGATCTTCTCGGCGTGCACCACGAATGTTCAATGTCCACGTGTTGGGGTCACTGTGTTTTACTGATAAACGCGCGTTGTTCGTGATCACGTGCTCGTGAATCGCCAGAATCGCCTTGGTGTCCGCTTTGATCCACGCCACCTGGCCTCACAAACCCATTTCTTAACACACTACACCTTCTTCATTCATCTATTGTATATTTTACTTATCTCTAATAATATGCACTTGAATGCCTTAATTTCTAGCCGCATCGTAGGATTTTTCTTATAAAAATACTTGAATTCAAAATGACTAGAGTTACAGAAATATTCATTGAATTTGTATTTTTATTTGATTAGGGTTTAGATTGCTAAATTTCATACTGTTATATTTAATACTGCAAACTGTAAATAGTAAGTGTGTCCCTCCACATTAATTTCCTATCTTGAACCGAGTAAGAGATACGACTCGTCCCAATTGCGTGACCTATCTTGCTTTCTGCAGTAGCAAAACAATCTTTCCATTATGTCACATGCTTTTAAAATTATCATAAGTTAACTTTTAATTTGATTATTCGTCAATAACAGTTTTCAAGATATTATCAGAAATTCATAACATTCTAAAATTTTCTTGAAATTTAATAAAGGTACGTTCCAATTTTCAATCGCTTTTGTAAGGGAATATAATGCATACTCTTCTCTTTTGAACTCAAGTATGCTTTATTTTCAGATGAATTTTCATATACTGCCAAGGTTTAATTAGTTTTCATATAAAATTCTCTCGAAATTCAGAAATTTATAGATGGATCTGATAAAAATTAATTTAATGCAAAACAGTGCTTTTGTAAAATGCTGTTTCTATTAGATTTTAACTATTCTCGATCCTTCTACAAATTTATGCAATCTTCGGAGTAAAAATTTCAATTTCCGTTTATTTTCCTATAAACCGTTACTCGTTCAACAGATATGAGGCCACTAGCTTTGAATTTATCTGTTTTCTTTATGCTTCTCTTTTTATGGTAGATTTAATATTATAGATAATACAGAACGTTACTTTGCTTTCATTCCTTGCTTTCTTTCTATTATAATTTTCACAGGATGTACGTTCTTTGTTTTTTCTTCATTAGTATTTCATTTAATTTAATTATTAAAGAATGGGGCTGAAGTATTATTTTCATATATGAAAAAGAAGAATTTTTCAATTTGGATCTTGTTCTTCTCTTTTTATTGCCTAAAGAAAAATTATACTGCACGTTACTATGTTATTTATTGCCACAGTTGCAAATCAAAGTTAATAACATATAATCAAATTTAAAAAAAGTATATATAAAATAATATACATAGGGGGTTGAAAAATATTTATTAGGAAGCATGTGCTCCACCAGGGTTGAAGGCTTAACGAAGCCTACATTGAAGAAAACTAAAAAATCATACAAATACAGACACCTTGTAGCAAGTTAAAAAGTATCAACCATGAATCGCTAAAAATTCAATTTCATCAACTACTTCCTAAAAAGACCACCGTTCAAGATCTTCACTGTCACTCGACGGGGCTAAGAAGAAGATTTGCCAAGAAGCTGTGCGAAGGGTGCTCTCCGGCCCTTATTTCGCATAGATATTATTGGCACGAAATTGAACCGGTGGCATGTCGAATATTTGACCCCGCGTCGCTTTGAAAGGCTATCTATCAACCAACAAAAGAGGTCTGCGGTTCTTATCGATAACTCGAAAGCGGAGTGTACAGAGAAGGGGGTAAAGGAGGGAGAGACAGGACTACGGGGGTAGATAGCAAAGGAAAAGCAAGGAGGGGTGGTCTTTGAGTGTTTGGTAGTGACGGCCCTGTGAGTGCTTCCACTTATAATACATTATACGAGGATAGTGAACTACCCTTCCACGTTTCCTTCCCCCTTGCCCTTCCGCTCTTCCTGAACAGCTCCAAAAACGAGCTCTCTTCGGAGAACTGAAAAAGTCCCCCGGACGACAGATGCTCGTGATTCTGAAACATTTATGCCACTTTTCCACCCCCTACTTCTTCCCTTTTTTCTGCTTCTTACCTTCGAATCTCCTTTCTTTCTTCAATGAGTTGTATTTTTCTCACTATTCATCGAACGATGATTAATTGATGGAATTGTATCGTGACTTATAAAAGATATGACGATTTTTATGTAACTTTGTAGAACTGTTCATTGAAGCTGTCTAAGATTTTCTTTTTCATATTTGATTTTGTTAATTTTGTATTTTATAAATAAAATAGAATTTTCAATAAAGTACTAGTGAATTATTGTAATTATTTTGAGCAATGCAAATCGAAGAACCACTAATTAATATTAAGTACCTGCCTGGTTGATTGATACTTTTCAGTATACAAAGGTATCTGATTTGTTTCTAAATTTTTAAAAAAATATTAAAACTAAAAAGAATTAAATACCTACTAAAAATAAAAATACAAAAGTAAAAATAAATGAATAAATTTAATTTGTGGATAATTTTATAATAATATGGTACCTAATGTATTGGTTTATTATTTTTCATCTTCCACTTCTGATATTATTGCTATCAATATCAGCATTATTTGAACCACCATTATTCACATTTTCACTGACTATACAGTGCCTTAAAAATTACTTCAGACTTTCGATATCCATTATTCATCTACCACTCACTATAGCTTACATTATCTCCATACCAAAATAATCTTACAAACTTGCAGCCTCCTCAAGCAACGTACACAGTTTCTAAAAAAATACTTCGCAATCAGAATTCCACCCCAATTCTACCTCTGCTTTGTTCCAAATACTGAATAGGGTCGAAATGATAATAAAATCACAACTTATTGAATGATCTTCGCTCAGCTGATGTAGAAACATGTATGAACGAGACAAAAAAAGAGAGGTTGATAGAAAAAGTAAACCCCTTTTCTAGTTTGAAAAACCTTTTCTTAAAATCCACCCTAGTAGACTTCTAACATAATCCGCGAAACGTGGAGGGTGAGCAGCTCGCGTCCCGTAAGAGATCACAAATTTGCAGCACAATGAGCGGCAAGACTTAAAGGGCTGCCTCTATGGAAACGAGTTTATCTTAAGCAAAAGGCGCCCCCTAATGCAGTTTCCCTTACGCATTTTCAACTTACGACCAGTCAGGAATAAAGAAAGGGAAAGAGATAAATTTTGAATTTCTTCCAAAGGGCACCAGAGGAAATAATTGTCCAAAATTATAGGATGTACATTTTTTAAATAAACAAATTGAATTAACGAAATCGCAATTCCATATAATATCTTACTCTATAACTTCCAAAAAATTCTATATAATCTCTCCCTTATTTTAAAGTGGGATGCGTTATAATTTTGTACAATTATTACCTTTAACTATCTCCTATCATTGTCCAAAGTTCAAGCGAAATTACGACGGTGGTTCATCCTGCGAGAGGGATGGTAGATGAGGTAAGAGTACGACGGAGGCATGGAAAGACTGCGATAAAACGTGAGAAAGATGAAGAAGAGAGAAACAGGAGGAGGGGTTCCGCGTGGAACCCTAGTCAGATATAATATCACACTACGTGCACCTATCTCTAGCGGTCTCCATTCTCGGCCCTCTTTCATATGCAAAACCATCGTCGGCGTTCTATTGTGCCGCATTGTGGGATCAGGAACCTGGGTCCAGTCTACCACACCTCGTTTATTTCCTGCCATCTTCTCGCTCACCCTCTTTTCTCAAAGCAACCTATCTCTTTCCACCCTCCGCGAAAGCCACTTGTACAAGCTTTTATTTTTCCCTGGTAAGGAGGGGATGTTCCTTTCAACGGTATGCAGATAAATGGATAAGCCTGGCTAATTAAAAGTTTCATGGGGTGGTCACGATGGTTGCACCCCCTTCGCATCCGCTGGTCATCTAGCTCGTCTTTCTAATACCCTTTCTTCTTCTTCGTCTTCACCTTACCGCGTGCTGCCGCTTTTTTTTTCAGCTATTATTCTCCGGCCTTTGTTCACCAGGGACAAGTTTAAACGTTAGAATTTATTATCGCACAGTGGACGGGTTGCAATGTTGTTACAGTGAAACGCACTTACCCGTGCGTACGTTTATACGCGCGAGTCTGTTGGATTATTAACCGATCGCGACAAGCGACACGCGCTAGATTTCAGCTTACGCGTGATGTTACATGCGAGTATCATTTCATGTGTTATCATCTGTCTTGCTTCGATCGTGTTCGAAGGCCGGAGATGGGTTCGGGATTGATACCGTTGCTGCTCGATCTTCTTTGGGATTATTGGACGGTTATTGAAATTATCACGAGTTGTGTGTATCAGATTTTGCTTTTACAAGATCCGCTCGGTGGGAACCATTTAGCTGGTAGCTGCTGTAAGCAATTTTGGTATTAGGCTTAGGGACAAAGGATTTATTAGTGGCTTGCACAGCTGAATTGGTGAATCAATTAGCGAGCGGAAAATTGGGATCTTGATACTGATTCAATAATTGGATTTTGAATTTTTAATCTTAATTGCATTTAGAAGTAATGGAGTTATTTTTACATGGATTGAATTGAATAAAACCTCGAATGGTTTTAAACTGGGTTCAGTAATCCAATCCTCTTCTTTTTATCTTCTTTTTTTGACTCTTAAATACATTTAAAAGTGAAATAGATAACTGGCAATTGCACTGAACCATAATACTAAAGTTTTTTATACACATTTTAACAATGAATTCAATATTGAAGAACAATTAAAGTGCCATATTCTTGAGTTAAAGTTTCCTTTTTAAAGTACACGATCAATAGATTATAAATTCTATTTATCGTCACTGGTAATTCAATTTATAATTTCTTTAAATAAGGCACGTAATAATTTGAAAAATTCATTTCCGTTTTCTACATCAATTTTCTCTTTTTTATAATAAAAAATTCTAGGATTGAATTTTAACATACTCGAAAAATACCAACATAATACCAGTTTTATGGTACTTTATACACCATAAAGTCTGTGTGCACGTACGGATGATTGCATATCAATGTAATTAATGGTCACCATCCCTGGATCGTTCCGTTTTTCAATCTGCGTTCTTTGTAAAAGAATCTCCATGCCATAAAGCAACAATCACGATTTACAAGATTGCCTTGTTTCTCTCTGCCATAAAGCTTGTAATACTTTTTTTTTTCATTTTTCATTTTCTTTCCGTCGATCGTACGTCGTCCACCTATATCACGCGACTCGACGTTCAATTTCATCGGGATACATAGTTTCTTATGAGATTCGTTAGGATGCAAATCATCAAATCGTTCGAATGATTAACCGTAGTTTGATCGAGCATTTCATAGGAGGCATGCATTACGCAGCTAAACAAGATTACTCCGTAGCGTGTGTAGCAGGGAGATATGAATTCCGGTACCGTTTGCTTTGATACCCGTACATTCGTCCGGGGTAAAGGCTTAACTTAATCTTCCTGACTTTCGACGTAATTTGTGCCATGAACTAAATGAGCTGAAATTTCTCCCTGCATACCGTGAACCCTTACTTTCCTAACGCGACTCATTTTTCACGTTTTATTAACTGAAGGATGTTCCAGTTACTCTTTGAATCTGACGATCTTCTGTGTCGATTTTTAATGTAAATATTCACTTAAATCACAACTCTACCCGTTAGCTGCATGAATTGAATGAGAAAAATATGCTTCGTGAATGCTTATACACTGAATCTAACCAGCAATCGCAAATGAATTTGATATTTTTTCATTTTCCAAGAGTGGGTAATTTGTTAATTTTTATACTTCTGGTACAGTATACTCTCGTTATATTGCCGTGGACGGCGTTGTAGGAACGGAAAAGTCAAATTTTCAAGCTACCATATGGAGGAGTGTAGGGGAGATACAAGTGTATCATTTTTGTAGATTATGATGGTGGAAGTTTAATTTCAGTAGTACAGGTACGTGTTTGGTCAGACTAGCAAGTTTCTAATTAGGGAAATTTGATAGCTCCAATACTATATGCTATAATTAGCAATTAGTTTCATTAAATTATCTTTAAAATAAAATATATACATATTGTACATTTTTAAGGCACTGTAATATATGAGTCGAACAAGTATTTTTTAAAATTTAACTAAATTAGTATAGAACAATTTTAAATGGTGGTTCTATAATAGTATTAATTTTTGAAGAAGTTTATCGTCATTTTTAAAATTATTCTCACATATTTGCATTATAGCATCATTAAGTAAATTCCTAGTGCCTCTTTATTAAATTGTCGCAAAATTAATCAGATCCATTTGTTCATAGGAGATACAGTGGCGACTATATACTTACAGAAAATTTTGATTTTGTCTTCATAACATCAGAAGTTCTCTCATGAAGCTTCGAACAAAACGAAAACAATATTGTTACAGAGTACCCTGGTAGCAAAGATCTGTCACTTATCTGAACTTAAACGTAATGTAAATACTTCTTTATTTGGACAACCACTTTAGGACACCACAATGAGTGTAAGTATAAAAGTTTATTTTTGTTTTGAAATATTGCTATGTACTACTTTGAAAAGTACATAGTGAGGAAATAATACTTTTCAATGCATTTACACTGAGAATGAAATGTAACATGATAATAGGATCTATATAATTAATAATAATAATAATTAAAATATGTGTTGCTTTTCCAAAATGTTCATATTATTTTCCATATTATTAAAATAATGTAGAAAATATCATCGTTGTAAAGCCTAAAATAAAAAGAAATAAAAATAATGAAGTCTCTTTTGTGTTTTTCCACATAAAAACCATCGTAAAACCTTTATGATATGACATATGATACATGTATATGATAAATCTTCACACTAAAGCAGCCTACAAAGCTCTTAATGAAACATTATAAGTAAGTATATAGTCGTCACTGTAAAAAAAAATTGTTAAATTAATTTCGCTACTTTTCAGTTACTTCCGTGTATAACGTTTCTACCAATTATTAAATTAGCCTCTGGTATTTATCTTATTGATCTAGATTAATGCTTACTCAAGAAAACATGCTCATGCAACCTCTTAATCTCTCTCATTATCATATAATCATGCATCAAGGCATGCCTCGCGTAAGTGAGAATTCCAAGAGACGCTAATACAGTCTCGTAACACGACATGATTGTCGTGGCCTCTCTATTACTTACGACGCATAACATATTCGTAACATTGTGCACTCAATTGTCGTCCAATGCAGCTTGCATCATATTTCATCCCACGAACAAACAGTCTCAAAGTGTGTTGTGCATTGTGATGAAACTTTTGTGCAATACACGTTTGTGGGGTTTTGAAGGGAGGGTGAATCAGTGCCGATTATGACACGAAAATTCGAAAAATGAAACAAAGATAAAGACAAGAATTTTTGTAAACCAAATTATAATTAAGAAACGTGATTTTCGCGAATGATAATGCAATATTTTGCTTGCATTCTCCAATATAATGAATATTAGTCTTTGAAAATATGGAATTTTTATGTTATTACTGATTATTGCAAATACTATTATTATTTGGAACATGTCAAGAATAATCGGCTGTAATTTGTTGGGGGCATGTTCATTCAATTCGTTTCGTTAAGCGTTGAAGCTTACCTAAATCTAAGAAGCCAAGAAGCCATGATACCATGGGTTTCAAACTCTTTCTTTCTTTTTTTACTTCATGAAAATATTATGGATACGAAACCAATGAACAAGAGTATATGTATTTTTAGTATCTTCATTTCAGTTTTAAGAAAATGAGTTTTGCATAAATGATAAAAGTCATGTCTTATTCAGAAAAGAAGAAGTGATGAGAAGTAAAATTACACTTTCTTTTAATAGATTTATACTTTACGAGATCGATCAATTTGTATAATTTATAATAAGATATACATATATGAACAGACATTAAAATAGAATAATGGAAAAATGAATATCAGATGAATTCAAATTGAAAAAAAAAATCTATGCATACTAATATTTAAATTTCTATAGATCTTCAATTTAAAAAAAATTATTATTGCTGAATATCAGAAACTTTTCATTCAAATATTTTTTACTGTAACAAATAATTCATGAAATTTTGCATCTATATCATTTTAAATAAGTAGTATTTCAATTAATATTAAAATCACAAATTATTTCAAACATTCCAATGTAACAAAGTTTAGAAAATAATGTCTGCAAGAATTTTTATTTTTGACTTAAATTACTATATTACCCAGCACTATTTATAGTTCGTATAATAAAATCTCAACTACGCGTTCATATATTCGGAACAAAGCATCAACTTGTTCGTATAAATAGAGTGCAGATAAACGGAGTTCTACTCTATTTTCTTACAGAGTGTCCCGTAGAAATTGTAACTTCGGATTGTTAGACGACAATGGCGATGAAAACCGAGAGATTCGTGGAGTGTGCACGGGGAAAAGCGAAATCGCTGTCGCAAAACTTGTATTTCTAACTGCCGTGGAATGTCGTTGGGCTGTAGAATGCGTTTATTGCCGGCTATTCATCGGTGCATGAATAGCAAGATTAAGCTTTTCGAGTGCGCTTATTTAAGTTACTCGCCTTGACGGATCCACGCCACCTAAGAATCACGAGGAAAGAATATTCCGAGAAACTCTGAAATACGAACGAATATCGCGGGTGTGACAAATTTTGTATGGAGAAGCTTGAAATTTACTGAAGAATCGTTCGGTTGGAAAAATCCTGAAACTATGCACGTCTACCAAGAAATATAGAAGAAAATTTAAATAAATCCTTTCCGAATGTATTATTTTTTAAATTTAACCAAGGCGCTTGATTAATGTTTAATTTTTTTATGTTTCATCAATTTCTTTCGTTTGAAAAAAAAATGAAAACTTTTGCATACACTCAGTATATTAGCCTACATATTCTTCGAAACAATGACACTATATATTCATATGTATATAATATTCAATTTGTAAAAAGTTTCGACAAATGAATATTTTTATTACCCGAGAGAAGAAAGATGAAATCATGTTGAAAGGCGATGAAAAGATGGTAAAATGTGTTTCGAAGGCGCATGCATAATTTCAGTTATCCCGTGTACCAGCGACGAAAATCATCATTCTTTCTCGAACGAACCGCGAGCCTGCCTAAACTCGCGTTATTTGACTTGCTGATTCGTATACGACAAATTATCATTTTCATTTTCATTCTCATGATCAAGAGTCCCGGTAAAGTCTTGCGCCAAATGTATGCGCATATATACGGCCGTAAACACGACCAGTATCTTTGCCCTTTACAAATTCCCTGAATGACAAATCATTTTGCCTTAACCATGTCCTATGGCTTACCGGTGGAAAGGTGTTGAACAGTGTTATTATGCTTTGGGTACTCTACATTTTTTCAACTGACAATTAATAATATTATACTCAAATTTTGTCGACGTTATAAAAAAACGTTCTAAATTGAAGAAAAAATTTTATAAATTGCTTAAATGATTATATGGACCTTAAGATAGCGCGAGAAGAAAGGAACCTTGATAAATTCGAATCATTCTTCAAGTTATATACTTGAGGATTTCAAGGCTTAATTAAAGTCGACAGAGCAACTTTCGGTGAAATCTCTTCGGAAAGAAATGTTCTCTCCACTGGGGTCTTCTACGTAGTAAGAAATCCATTCAACAAGTGGGATCGTAAAACTGTCAAATATATTACCGCGAGGTTCAATTATGAAATCATCGCTTTTGTTTCATTGAGATAATTAATTAATATCTTGACATTCATTGATTACATGAGCGGAATAATTATTAATTTGATAAATAACTTGACTTAAAGTAAGAAAATTAAATTTTCATTTTTACTCTTTAAATGAAACTTATTCTTACCATTATTTAATAAATATTCAAGCTGCATTTGATTATATACGTACCTATAAAAAATTTAAGAGAAAGATAAATATTAAATCCGATGTTTCAATCATAACTAACTTTGCATAGACTAATCTAAAAACTAATTGAATATATATGTGTGAACGTGTACGTGAAATCTACACAAAGATAGAATTTTAGAAAAGTGCTATGTTGGAAAAGTATTAAAAAAGAGAATATTTTCGTGAGAAGAGAAGAAGAAGAATAATTATACATTCGATTAGCGTCTATCCAGTAAAACATCCCACTAATGGAAATGAAATAAGAATTCCTTGAATTTTCTAGTCTAACGATTCAGTTAGAGAGAGAAGACGGTCAGAATATTTAATATCATAATTAATTCAAAGGAGAGACACCGGAAAAGAGAAATCAACGAATCTCGCATCTAATGACGTAGAATTTAGCTCTTCTAAAAAAGTAACTTGATTCCACTAGTTTTTAATAACTATCAGTTTCCTTCATTTCATCTACTTTCAAAGCTACCTCTAATTTTAATGAATTTCAGGCTGTTTCAAAGGTAATGTTCATCTGTTTGTTGAAATATTTCTAGTGTCGATAGAATTTTACTAATTGGAGAATCTTTAGAGTTTGAAATTTTTGGAAACTGAATTATCATGAAGCAGCTTAACAAGAAGCACATGCTACTTTTGTACTGAAACGATAGGTAGATTTGTTCGCATCGACACTTCGTGATTATTAATTAATATAATCATTAAGAAGTGTGTACAGAGTGTTTGAAAATTTCATATCATTATTCTAACAAAAAAGAATAAAAAAACAAAAGAATCAAACACTGTTTATCACCCCTGCAAAAAACACCCTGTACACCCTGAAGAAAGCTCAAAGAGCACGTTCGAAGCGAACAAACCCAGCACTCTACAATACCTAAAACAGTGGAACACGCTGTTGATCCCGTACACGTTTGCACGAGACAATATGCACGAGTTTCTCGCAAGCTATCGTCCGCTATTCTGCAGGCTACACTATCTGTCGTTTGTTTCCATCTTTTCGATTCTCTTTTTTTTTTCTCGACGTCTCGTTACCGAGGGGTCTCTTCGGGCCGAAAAGGTCGAAAGCAAGGAGAAAACGAAGAAGAAGGGAGGGGTAGCGAGAAGGAAGTGAAAAACTACACGGAAGTGGAGATTAGCGAATAGCACATTCGTGTGCAACGGTTCTATCGGTTGATGGGTGAAAATGGATGTCGTAGAGAGAGCGAGAGAAAGATAGATAGAGAGATAGATAGATGCTTGGTGATGGTTGGCGGCTGCTGCGATGGTTTTCATTTCTTTTTTTTTTTTTTTTTTAATTTTTTTTTCATAGCTGGCTGTGGTGCAGTTAAATGCAGTGCTGTGAGGTTGCAGGCACACGCGCATATAAGTAGTGCAGTAGTAGTAATAGTAGTAGTGATGGTGGTAGTAGTAGATAAGGTAGTCCATTACAGGCGGACACAGGTTAATGGTAAAATAGTTACCCGGGCCTTGGCGCCGCCAGAGTGATCTCTGCTCGCGGAGGAGGAAGGACTCACCCGGTATCCACCGAGGTTGCTCACCACGCAGGTGAAGGTAGCGTCTCGACCCTGCGGGATCGTTACATTCTCCAGCGGATAAACGAAGTCTGGCCCTACCCCCGTCACTGGAACAATCAAACAGTTAATTTTATAAGTTAAACGGATAATTAAAATTTAACAAAGACATTTTGGGTATTTGTCTATTGTTTGGTCACCATCCCTTTTTTTTTCAAACATCAATATGTACAAAAGGGTTATTTGAAAAGTTAGAAAAACATTAGAAAAATATTTCTAAATTATCCATTGACTATGCAACAATCTACCGTCTTACAGAGGAAAATTGTTATAAAAAAAGGAAGGAAAGCGATAAAATGCTTTCACGGACCTAATAGTAATTAAGGGCGCAAGGAGATGATAGTGTACACAGAGGAAGGCTTCCAAAGGGGTGTGTAATTTTCAGGCTCCTTAAAAGAATGTTATCTGCAAAGCAAGCAACGTCGAAAAGTTTTAGCACCGTGCACTTCGGATGCTTTATCTTTGCTGGTACAGAGCAGCACTGAAAATTCTGCTCTCATGATTTTCATTTTACCATCCTCCTTAAGGAAAATCCTACTTCCTCTCTCTCGAAACATTCTTTTTTTTCTTCTCCATCTCACCAGGTTACTCTTAGTTGGTAATGGTTCGGTATAAACGTTTCGTGAAATAAGGTTTCATGCATGATAACCAATGACTAGTATGTATTTTATTATTAACGTTAATAGCCTTACGCTTTTAACAATAAGAGCGCCGTAATTCGAAAGCGGTAGGAAGCTGAGAAATTGAAAATTTAAAAAAACGTGAGAGGTTTAAGCAAAGGTTCTTAAGAGTAAAGGGGCTTCGAGGAAAGGCATTAGAGATAATGTTACTATAACTTGCAGAGATAACCACGTACATAACTAATATTCAGAATGAATGATGCGGATTAAAGGGTAGACAGTGGTAATTATAATTCATTGTCCATTTTATTACTCTTAGATTTACGAATAAGATTTAAGAAATTTATTAGAGTGAAATATAATAACAATTAAATAGAGAAATTCTATAGTTTGTAACTACACATAAATAAGAAGAAATTGTACATATCCTGGTATTTATTATAATTTTTTTTATCGAATTTGAACAATTTCAATTCGTTTTAACTATTCTCTTTCGTTCCATTCTCTTCCCAAGCATATTATTTACGTAAAACATCCGAAGAGCTATAAATTATCTGGAGCTCTCTGTGTTCAAACTATTTGCAAGAACAATATTTCATCTTTGTGTGCATTTGTCTGTCGTGTCTAGATAGCGGTTTTCTGAAATTCTTGCTTCGCAAGCCATAAAGTATTCCTTCCGATTATTGAACAAACGTATGCGCATATTCATACTGAAATTTCATGGAATTAACTGTTTTCAGTCGTGTACGATAGGGTGTATGCTCTACAGTGAACCGAACTGTAATAGATCAAATTGCTTTGTACATATTAAATAGCCTTGGAGTTAAGCTGATAGCAAAATTATACAACAGAATTGTGTGCCTTGCATTGAAGATATAATACTGACATCTGGAATTTTGCAAAATAAAAACTGTCAATATGTATATTTTTATTACATGATATTAGATTTTTAGGGGGTCAGGCCTACCCTTATCCAGTTATGCCCATGCATATTTCATTGCTATACTCTGCAGTAAAAATATTCGAACACCGTAAATATAATATTTACGGGGTAAATCGTATTACAATAAAAAATTAGGAAGAAGTTAAGAGGGTGTTTCTAATGCAACTAGGACGACAGTTATGCTGTCGAATGTATATCACGAACGGCCCACTGCGAAATAAAAACTAGCTTGGTAAAATACTCGAGACTTCGAAAGAAACTGATTCACTTGCGAGTTTCCTCGCGATTTCTCAAGAAAAACGTAGGCATACTAAATTCCAATACCTTTCGCCTTCGACTGCCTTCTCGCGATATGATGTAACAAGAAACACTAGACCTGAGGTTTTGATAGTTGCAACTTTTTATCAATATTTTCTGGGATTTCAGTCAATCAGAAATATTGGATCTTTTTTTACTTTTATGTTACTAGGTATCGGACAACAGTTAAAAGGTTAATGGATATTTTTGAAAAATATTTTTAGACCTTCATTGTCAACTGTACTTCTATAACTTTAATATTACAAGATCATTTAAATATACTTGAATAAACGATTTTTCAGAAGTTAATATCTGATGCTAATAGGTCGGAAGTACGTTCCGAAACAGGAGTTTTTAATTTTATACAAAAGCCATTTAAATTATTTTTCAACCTTTTTGCAATAAAATTCAGGTGGTATTGAAGCAAAATATGCAGAAAAGTGATGAAATAATTAATTTTAAAAATTTAAAGCCAATACATCTATGATGGCACTTTATTGCACATAGAAAAATTATTTTATTTATATTTATAACACTGAATTAGATAATCTAATAATCGAATGTATAAATGCGTTCTACGTTAAATACGTTCTAGTGAAAGGGTACGTAATGAAACTATTTCAATGACGTGTTAATTAATACCAATTCATATTAATTTCAGAGCATGGTGTTCTAGTATCAAACAGACATTGAAATACATTCTCATTGATATTAATATAGGTAATAGGTTTGGAACATTCTGTATAATATCAATCTCCAAAGATTTCATCAATGATCAAAATTATTTGAATCTATTTTTCTTAGCTCACCATTTAACGCTAAATATAACATAAAAGAAATTTTATTCTATATCGTTGACTTATTTTTGTATCTAGAATCATTCTTTTTCCAATGGTACCATTAAATATTGGGACACCCTGTAGAAAATTTTTCTTCCAGGGTATATTTTCTCACGTAGTATCACCAAATCATTCAAAGCCAGCGCGGAAATTCACTAAATAAATAAATGCACATTCTCCGCTAATCAACCTATTATTCACCCATTTTTCATGCAAATTACTCCTTTCATCAAACAAAATGTTTGTCCCGGCACATAACGTTCCATGTGTATAGACCCTAGGTCTTATGAAAAGTTTCTAATGAAAATTTCAATGAATCCGGAAAGTTTTTGATTGGCCCCGAAGATCCCGTGAGGTATGCAGCATAGCATCACTGTTACGAACTACAAATTCGCATACGGTGTACGAGCAATTGAAAGTTCCAAAACTCGCAGCAGTTTTGCTCGCGGCTATGTTGAAGCACGTCGTAGGAAAGCAGGTAAAAATTTATTTCATCTATGCCGTGTGTCATGTGTTTTCCACGTGAAAACGAAAAACAACCACTCGTTCTCATCTTCTTGCGACCATTCCACGATAATATTAATATTTAGATTTCACGTGCTGTGTTTCACGGTTCCGCAATAATTTATGCTACCCTACCCCTCTCACTTATACTTCCGTATAAAGTACGCTGCCAGAGTTATGCGATATTGGAATCCAGAATATTTCCTAAACTGTTAATATTACAACATAGAAAGGAAGATTCCTCGTTTGAATTTTACCCAAGATCAGCCTTCTTCTTGATAATTTCGATGCGTTATAAACGATGCCTCAAAGGTAATATCAATTTACTGAACTCAAATGGTAATTTTCTACTCTATATTGCATTTTTAACGCTTCTCCTGATTGTTACTTATATTAAACTCAGATTTCGTTATTGAGAAGTAACTTCTTTGTTAAATAATTTTCTTAATTTTACAAAAAAAAAAAAAAAAATGTGAGTAAATCGTGACCCAAACTTAAAAATTGTATACAAGGATATTAATCTAAAGTTAAATTTTTTAATTTTTAACAGTGTAAAATTTAGAAAACAATAATAATATGAAATACAAAATTAAATGAAAATTGGGTTTCTCTCCATGGTCCGCCATCCGAAGATTACCTATAACTAACAAAGCCATCAAACAACCCTTACCAATGAAACACGAGCACGAAAGGAAGGAAAGGAAAAATAAAATCTGCGAAGAAAAGTGTTTACAATTTCCGTAGAAGGAAAAGTGTGGCATATCGGATCCTTATTTGCATCAGTGGTTAGTATCAACGATATCACCGGCCTGGCGTGAGGATACGGTACGGCGTGATGTGGCGTGGCACGAAGCGAGAGGCGGCAACAGTGGCGACTGAATTTTACGAGGATATTTACATGAGCGCAATATTTTATAGAGCACTTAATGCCAGGTCACGTTCTGTCCCTCAGCAGCGAGGCGGCCACCTATGAATCAAAGTGCGCTTTAAAGATTTCTTTCTCATCCATACTGGCAACCGGATAAGGAACTCGCCTAGCATCGCGTGGAATATCTTACACGTTATCTCTCCAACGTTTCCTTATCTCTCAAGTTTTCGAATCGTGCTTCCTCGTCGTCTCTCTTTTCAACGCGTCGGTGTTCGTCTCTACTCATAATGCATGCTGCGAGTTGTTCCGCGTTAGAAAGCGGAGCCGCTTGAAATTGGAGAAGCGGAAAACGCTTGGTCGTTGCGTTGCGTCGCCGCTTCATCCCGACCGAGTCGAATAACGTTTGCGTCTCGAGCACGATCGTAATTGAAAATGGCAAGTCGATTGTGTTTTCGGTGCTACAATTGAATGCATTTTAGAGAACATTGTTTCGTTTTGGTACAATCATGGAAACAAGATGATGAGTAGAAGAAAAGTGCTAGTTCAAAGATCAAATTTTGGAATAATTGAAAAAAAAGAATTGCTCCTTTCAGTCAGCAGTTAATTTTTGAAATTAATTTCTGAAAAGTATAAGTATTTATTTTTAATAAATTTCAATTGAATTCAGCTTAATTATTAGTTACGTGAATTTCCACACTGTCTAATCAATTTTTCACTTATCACATTTTAAGATTATAAATTTAATTTTTGAAAAATAATTAAAAGCACAATTTATAAAAATTTTCAAAATTTATAATCTAGTGGTATAAATATGTAGTTAGGAAAACGTTATGTTAAAACGGCGTGCTTTAACTTCGTGGAACCTCGACTGCGAATGCAATTACAATTGCAATCAATTTAGATAACTCGTAGCAGTACCGGCGCGAAATTGTTAACGTGATTATACGGCTCAACCGGGAAATCGTAGAAGGTGGAACAA